TTCTTTCAGAAATTATTTGTCACAAGACCAAGAAAGGTTGTATCAATCGCTTTGCTGCATTTTATAGAGCCTAGAACAGTACATAAGTTCTAAACGTTTCAATTTTGTGCCCACTTCATGCAGTTTTTGAGAAATTTAAAAATTTGCTTTATGTAGAAAAAAAAATGCATTTGGTGCCAACTTTCTTACAGAAATGATTTTCTATAAAACTAGGAAAGCCACGATTAATCTGACTGTTGCAATTTATAGAGCAAAAGGCAGTACAAAAATGCTAAACGTTTTGCGTTTTTGCCAACTTCAGACTAATTTTGAGAATTTTTTTAATTTGTTTTATCTCAGAAAACATGAGTTCCGTGCCGACCTTCTTTTAAAAATAAATTTCTTGAAAACTGAGAAATCCAGGATGAATCTGAGCGTTGCATTTTATAAGGCAACGGCCAGCACCTCAATGCCAGACGTTTCGATTTCCTGCCAACTTCAGGCAATTTTGGCGACATTTTCTTGAATCTTGAAAAAAATGCATTTGGTGCCAATGTTCTTTCAGAAATTAATTTTCACAAAACGAAGAAAGGCTGTAATGATCGATTTGCTGCATTTTATAGAACCTAGAACAGTAGGTACATAAGTTTTAAACGTTTCAATTTATTGCCAGCTTCATGCTATTTTTGAGAAATTTTAAAATTTGCTTTATCTAGAAAAAAGTGCATTTGGTGCCAACTTTCTTACAGAAATTTTCTAGAAAACTAGGAAAGCCACGATTAATCTGACTGTTGCATTTTATAGAGCAAACGGCAGTACAAAAATGCTAAACGTTCTGAGTTTTTGCCAACTTCCGGCCAATTTTGAGAATTTTTTTAATTTGTTTTATCTCAGAAAACATACGTTTCGTGCCGACTTTCTTTCAAAAATTAGGCCAGGATCAATCTGAGCGTTGCATTTTATAGGGCAACGGCCAGCACCTCAATGCGAGACGTTTCGATTTTCTRCCAACTTCRGGCAATTTTTRGGGAAATTTTCTTGAATCTTCAAAWAAATGCATTTTGTGTCAATGTTCTTTCARAAATTRTTTTTCACAAAACCAAGAARGGCTGTATCGATCGCTTTGCTGCATTTTAGAGAGCCTAGAACAGTACATAAGTTCTAAACGTTTCAATTTTGTGYCAACTTCATGCAGTTTTTGAGAAATTTTAAAATTTGCTTTGTCTAGAAAAAAAAATCATTTGGTGCCAACTTTCTTACAGAAATTATTTTCTAGAAAACTAGGAAAGCCACGATTAATCTGACGGTTGCGTTTTATAGAGCAAAAAGGCAGTACAAAAATGCTCAACGTTTTGATTTTTTGCCAACTTCAGGCTAATTTTGAGAATTTGTTTAATTTGTTTCATCTCAGAAAAAATGGTTTTCGTGCTGACTATCTTTCAAAAATTAATTTCTTGTAAACTGAGAAAGCCAGGATCAATCTGAGCGTTGCATTTTATACGGCAACGGCCAGCACCTCAATGCGAGACGTTTCGATTTTCCGCCAACTTCACGCAATTTTTGCGAAATTTTCTTGAATCTTGAAAAAAATGCATTTTGTGCTAATGTTCTTTCGGAAATTATTGTTCACAAGACCAAGAAAGGCTGTATCGATCGCTTTGCTGCATTTTATAGAGCCCAGAACAGTACATAAGTTCTAAACGTTTCAATTTACTGCCAGCTTCATGCTATTTTTGACAAATTTTAAAATTTGCTTTATCTAGAAAAAAATGCATTTGGTGCGAACTTTCTTACAGAAATTATTTTCTAGAAAACTAGGAAAGCCACGATTAATCTGACTGTCGCATTTTATAGAGCAAAAGGCAGTTCAAAAATTCTAAACGGTTCGATTTTTTGCCAAATTCAGGCTAATTTTGAGAATTTTTTAAATTTGTTTCATCTCAGAAAACATGGGTTTCGTGCCGACTTTCTTTCAAAAAAATCCAGGATCAACCTGAGCGTTGCATTTTATAGGGCAACATTCAAATAGGCTGAATTATACAGGGTGATTCAAAATTTGCGTCATTCATCTGGGGGTGTTTTGAGAGTACGGGCATAGATGGAAAAACAATTATTATTAACAAAAACTGAGATATTTGCGAAAAACTAGAACAGAAGGACGGCAACAATGCTTTTCAAGGTAATTTGCTTAATTAATCTTACGCTAATATCTGTTGATTCTTTAATATCAACGTTATACCCATTTAATTTCATATTAATTCAGGCAAATCTTAAGATGTAGACTGTAATAAAATGTTGTATTCTGGTGCTTATCGCAGTGCCTTCATATTGGTCAGCAGTTTTTATCAAATTCCGCCCCCAATAAGACCAAATTAAGTCGGAAATCCGGGCACCCGGTCGATCACTCCTAGACGTGTTTTGAGGGCAAATGCCCCAAATTGTGTTGAGTGTTTCAACGCTCTTAGGCTGGAAAAAAACCGATAAATTTTGCTGCCCGCAATTACCTACCTACTTGTTCGAACCCGTCCGGTTTTTTCCCTCAACACAACAATTATAAACGGGCTACACGACACTCTGTCTCAATTAATTTTTTTTCGCCGCATGTCCGCAGTCTTTTTGCGGAATGTCACCAGCAGCAGCAGCTGGCTTTATTTCGTCCGTGCTTGTACGTGTCGGCTGATAATTGACAGCTCAGTTCGTCCGGTTACGGGGTTGATCGGGCGGGTTCGACGCCTGTCGACTCAAGGCGACAGGCGTCGAATCCACCCGATATGCCGCTCGGCTTTAGACGAATAGGCGCGTTGAGTCCCGAACGGAGTTCGGGCTTATCGCTGCAACTAGCATAGTTTTGCAACATGCGGAATGTGGTCGATTCCAATTTGCTGCGATAATAAATGGCCGGTAGACCAACAGTCTCCGCGCTTGATTTTCTCAACTTTATGTGGTTTTGCGCAATTAATTAGCTGGAACCCGTTTTGCCGATGCCGATTTACATTCCTGTTATGTACGCGTTATTGATCGGGCCTGTCGTGTCGCGATCCACGCCGATTTGACTTCACGCATAATCGCAAAACGGCCGTTTTTTCGAAAATTCGTCGACAAAAAGCACCACTTTGCCGTTATCGTAACTAGAAAGCTCCCCAATCGGCCAGCTGATATCGACTGACTAGTGTACAGTCGATAACCCTAATGGGCTGCGCTAATCGACACACTTTTCAACAACTCTAATTAGCTTTTTGTCGGTAAAGACAATGCGCTTATCGCAAATTGGTAAGCGGTAACGTTAAGTAAGCGTATCAGGAACACAACCTGAAAAGTTCCGATTAAACACTCTCAAACATACGATTTATTTTATAACGTCCAAACTTCCAGTTGAATCCTTCCGTTAACTCATGCTGTGGTGTTTTTTGGCCACCCGGTATTCAACTATGGACATTAAAAAACAAACAAGTCAAGAGACTAAGAATAACAAAATACTATCCAGTGAACTTTGCATTCGATTGGAATTTTCTGTTGTTTCTGAATGTTTTTGAGCCACCCTGTATTGCAAAATTCAATCAATCGATTTTCCAACCTCCTTTCAAGCCGCTATAACTTTTGCAAAAAACGCAAATTGACTGATTATTTGTCTGTGAAACTCAGGTTGTAAGTCTTCTGAGCGTCGGAAAGACAATACCATAAAGTCTTCTGAGCTTCCCATGAAAGATTTTCTAGATTTTAATACTAGGTATCTCGCTAAGGTTCTGAGCGTTTAGGTCAGTGCTTGAGCTTCACTTGAGCTGAGCAGTTTTAGCACAACGTCGCTTTATTCTGAGCGACGACCAGATTTAATCTGATCCATTCTATACACAGTCTGTTAATAAAAAATGCTTCTGAGGCGTTTGCTGTCAATTAAGTCTGTACCGTTTAGCCTCTCATCGCAGCTTCAGAAGTGCATTATTACTTGTATAACTTCAGGCAAAATGGGCTTCTGAGCTTCAACTCAACAAAACTGTACCAAAATCACCAAAAATCCGCGTTAATTCGTCTGAATGGGTCTTCTGAGCGTTAAAGGAAGCCTTTGAGCCCGACTGGAGCTGTAGAAATTGCGGGCTTTGGAACTTTGCACGCACGGTTTGGCCCCCGAAGGTTTCTGATCGCCATTTACATAAGAAAATGCCCATTTTCAATACATTCGGAAATTTTCACTGGTGCTTGTAAAGCGCGATATTTGTGTAGTTTGAACGTTGAAAGGGTTTCTGAAGCGTCAAATTACGGGCACCTAAGATGAGCAATTGAGTCCAAATGATCCTTTTTCGCAATTTGTTGGGTGAGCTGAGGGACTTGCCGTTAAAATTTGCCTTCTGAGCAACCTTTCAACGTTCTTCGCGCAATTTGAGTCAACAAAAGGGTTGAAAAAGTTGAACCCAAGGAAAATATGTGCTGCTGTGTGTGCACTTTGCTTCAAAGGAGAGGATAGTAGCGTCCACAGGCCTTCTGATCCCATTTATGTAAGAAAAATCCTTGTTTCTCATTGAACTGTGGGTATTTACCAACCGTTTTGTTTCAGAAGGGCAGTACTTGAGTAGTTTGGGGCAACAAAGAGGGTTCTGCGGCGTAAACTCATTTGGTTCGTTCTTGTTGCACATTGTTCAAAATTGACCCAAAGTAGTGATGTTTTTTTGAAAGCTTCCAGAAAGGATTCTGAGTGTCTCTGATTTTTGAACCGGTTTGAGAGCCCCAAACTGATTTAAGTAGTTAGGTACAAGAGCATTCAGCTTGAAGGATTAAAGGAGACTGTTAAAATACTTCAAATCTTGAAAGGTTGAAAGCATCAGAAGCAATTGTCTGAGCTATTTTGCTAGAATGTTGATGAATGGTTCTGAGGTGCTTGGTGGGGGACCGGTCATTGAACTGAGCTTGACAGAACCTGTTGTTTGTTCTTGTGCGATTTCATTGTTTTTTGCTCGGGCGCGTCTCCTTTGAGTCGTGCAGCTAGTCAGCTCAGAAGATTCAGGTCCGATTTGGTGTGTAGGACTTACCCCCTTTTTCTGAAGCACTGAGTCACTCTCACTGCAAAGTCACTGAAACTGAGCGCGTCACGTGAAGCCAGCCACGCTTGGTAAACCGGGGGAAAACTGAAAAAATCGGAAAATCACTCGCACCGAATCGGGCAAGCAGACTGTCCACTAAAATCAGAAACTGAGATAAGGCACTAACCGGATCACTGAAGGCTTAGACAAAGACTGCTGGGTCGTGCGCAGCTCGCAAGCCCAAAGTTGCCCGCAGGGATTCATTGACTTAGAATTTTGTGCGGTTAAGTGGGGCTCCGCCCCTCAAGGGCGGTCTGACTGAGAGTGTTCCTGCTTGGGACACACAACTCTTTTATCGCATTACCATAAATTAACCGTAGATCTCCGATATGTTCGACCTGAACAGGTTGGATGAGAGCGCTTTGCATATGGGTATTCCCTTTTTAGATTGTCAGCTTTTTGTTCACAGATCGTTTTTTGTTTGATTCGTTATTGATCGGGACTGTTTAAATGATGCGCTTTCGGGGTCCCTATCAGTTAAGCTAGTTATGGTTTTAATTATGGCCGATCATGAGTGGGCGACTGAACTAAACAAATTAAGAAGCTGGCGTCATTTTCGATTAGTTTCTTTTTTTTCCTGCTGCTGCAAGTTTCGGATCCGACATCCTCAGGATCAACTGGGATTGAGCATTAATTGAGGTTGAAGTTGACATGGACAGTTGACGTTTGGGTGGCAGCCCATTTGTCAAAGTCACTGGTTTTGGCAGGCGAAGAGTGGTCGATAACTTATCGGGGCGCTGCCGGAAGTTTTAGCGATAACTTCGATTGTACTTTTATGATTATTTTTCAGTTGGTTTCTCTGTTTTATTGTTCGTTATGCTGGTGTTTTTAGAAGATGAGAGTTCATTGGCCCGGGGTTTTATCAAAGTGCACGGTGTTTTCTTTGTTTTCTGCTCATCATCATTTACTGGGCTGGATTCCATTGGTCTATTAAAATTAGTTATTTTATATTGTTGTGCAAGTATAATTGAGTTTTGCTTCTTGGTTCAAAAATTGTTTAAGAGCTGTCGGATATGCACAAAAAAAAACAGAGATTCATGCTCAATCGTGGTCCATTTGAGCGCACTTTCTTCATTGGTACTCACTCCAAAGTGGGAATATAAAGCCCCTGTTCTTTCTGCCGCTTAAGCGCAATCTAACTTTTTCAAATTTGAGCATTTTGCATTGCGTTGAAGGCCTCCAAAGTTAACTGCACTAATGCAACCAAAATTTGCGCTCATTTTCTTCATTATTTGTCCTGCGGGCTGTTTTAGCTTCAAAAATGCAAATTGTATACCTACAGAGTACTCAATTTCTCCTGTGGCTGGCACGTTCTTCTTTCGATCATAATTTTTGTTCTTTATGCTTCAAAGGCCTGTTCTTATCTTTCACCTTTTTCGTTGTTCTTATTTCCGGCTTTTTAGGGGAAATTCTCACGGTCAAGCGCAGCGTCTGCTCGTTTTTCTTTTGCTTACGCTCTACATTTTTCGTCTGATTTTGGAGCATCGGGACTGATTTTTTATTCGAAAGCTTCCAACGCCAACTAAAGTAAATCAATAAACATTCGGGCATTTCCCCAGCTCAATTAGTAGAAATTCCCATCCAAATTCCTGCTCGTCTTGTACGAATTGTAACCGATAAAAGCGAAGATTTTCGGAATGTTTTGGTCCTTTTACCGTGTAGGATCGGTGGCGCCGCTCACTAAAACGAAACCAGTGTAATGCGGGCCTAATCGGGTTTTTTTCCAGTTTTTTTCGTCCAATTATTCAGGCCGATTTTCCGCCTCACCGGTTCGTCTAAAAACTGTGCCTTTTCAGTGAATAATTCGACGACGAACAATAAAACTCTCTAGTTCTTAGTGAGCCACTAATGAACGATTCGTTGGACGACGAAGAAGCGAGAGGAAAAAAACAAGGGCCAAACTAAGTGCAAACGGCGGTCGCGTTTCAGACGGCGGCGCCACCGATCCTACACCCGGTAAAAGCCCCATAAATAAAGCGGGGCTCACAATAAAACGATCGCATGTCAAAATAAAACACTGTCACGATCGCCACCTACTGCTGAGGCCCTCATTGGACGAAACGTCGCGGCCACGCCCACCGCGATTTCCAGCGACAATTCGAAACGAAACGGCCGCCACTTTGGGCACTTTGATCGGGTTATCGATGTTTCTGCCTGCAGCGGAAACAATTGCGCTGATTACTGAATTCGAACAGGCATTGCTGACTTTTGAAACAAAAGCTATAAGGGTGTGAAGCTGACTTTTGCAGTTGCTGAGGTTGTCCAGCCCCGAATTAGCACAGCAAACATTGCTGTCTTAGTCAAGAACAAGTTTAGCAAAAAATCACTCATTTGAAGCCGAAATTGCCAAATAAAGCAGAATCAAAACTGCAGCAGCGCGTGATTCACTTGTACGTCGAAAGGTTCGATAAAACAGCAATTTGATTGCTTCAGCCTCATTATCCGCAATAAAAATTAATCGCTCTGAGTTGGAATTTTGCATTTTTAAATGAACAATTAATAATAATCAGTAGCACATTGAAACATTGCACAATAAATCAGCAATTTCACGGCTGAAGTGTTTTTATTGCTTTGTATGTTTCCAAAGGAAGCAGGCAAGGAAAGAGGATTATTATCAGCTCAACTTGTCAATTCTTTGGAAATTTACTGGAAAAAGTGGCAATAAAACAGCAATTTTGTTAATATTTCTTAATCCATTTTCAGCAATATTTAACTGATATACAAACTGCAATAAAGGCTTTCAGCATGGAAATAGGCTCAGTTTCAAGTGGATTTGTTCAAGATAAACTCAATTTTGAGTTAACATTTGGCAATAAATCAGCAAGCGCAAAACTCTCAAATAATCTGGTATACGGTTCTTTTTGCAACAGAACAGGCTGATTATTCGCTTCGTTCTGCAACAAGTCGCTCTTTGAAGAGGGAATTTGTTCAATAAAACCGCAATTTGATCAGTTTTATGATCAGCAATTTAATGCTTGCAGCAGCTTGAACGTTTCTAAAAGGCATAGACAATAAAAGTTATGAGTAACTCAACTTATCAACTACCTCGAAATAAATTGAAGATATTCCCAACGAATAACCATTTTATACTTTATTGCTGTTTTATTACCAGCAATGTTTAAAAATCCGCATTTTTTCAGCATGAGAATGGGCTCAGTTTTCCTCCATTTGAATTTTAAAAAATTCACTGAACTTGCCGATAAATCAGTAATATTTTTGTCAGCAGACGTAAAACTCTCAATTTGTCTGGAAGGTTTTTTGTGAAATAACAGGTTGATTTTTTATTTTAGAACGCACAACTCTTGAGAGCTGTAAATTGCTCAATAAAACAGCAATTTGATTGTTGCCGCTTTATTATCAGCATTTTAATGCTTGCAGCAGCTTTAATGTTTCTAAAGGGCATAACCAATAAAGGATGGTTTTGAGAAACTCAACTTATCAATTACCTCGGAAGAAGTTGAAAATATTCCCGATAAAACTGGAGTTTTATGGTTTATTGCTGAATTATTAGCTTCAACTTTTAATAAGACATTTATCAACGGAAATGGTTGTTGTCAACACGGGAATAAGTTCAGTTTTAACACGATATATATTTTAAAAAATAGCTAAAGTTTTTCCGATAAATCAGCAATATTCTTATGAGCAAATTTAAGAACTTCTACACATCGCAAATGAGCTTCTCTTAGCTCAAAGAACAGGCTGATTGTTCAAATAATTTTACACAGAGCAATAAAACAGCAATTTTTATTCAATCAAAAAGTAATTTTTGACTAATATTGGCCAATAAAACAGCACTATTAGTGGCAGCAACATTTAGACTGACTATAATTGATATTACCACCATTTACCCCCAAGATGTTCGATAAATTTGCAAAGTTTTGCTATTTGGGGCAATAAGACAGCAATTTGAGTTTGCTGTCTTATTATGCGCCAACTTTAAAGGTTTCAACAATAGAAAGTGTTTGCCTTAGAACTTTCCAGTTCAATTTAATCAATGATTCCTTCAAGCTTGAACCCTTCCATTAAATCCAATATTGCTGCTTTATTATTAATAATGGCAGCTGACAAAGGGGTTTTTGCAGTTTCAGCTCGTGTTTTTGACAAAAAGTCGGTTTTGAATGGAAATTTGCCAGTAAATCAGCACTGTTGTTGTCAGCAAAGTTTAAAACTTTCAGTTAACTCAAATGAGTTGTGTGACGCAAAAGCTGAACCTGATTATTTGCGTTGTATAACTTGTAAGTTTTTAGTGGAAAAAAATGTCCAATAAAACAGCAATGTTTATGGGCGTTAAAAGTTCAACTGGCGCAGTTATTTTGCATTTTGTCGCAGGCATTAATAAGTGGAAGGTTTCAGCAATAAGGCAGCAAAACGAAATTTGCCTGTTAAGGTGCTAAAACAGTTCCAGTAAAGAACCCAACAACAAAACAGTTTCCTGATAAGCCAAGTACCGAAAATCCCCATTGAGAATACAGAGTGTTTGATACGTGAGAGCATGGAGGAAAAGTTGTCCTGCTAAGTAAAGAAAAAAATCACTTTTGAAACTAACGTTAGTAAATGAGTGTTTGCTGGTCCCTGAAAGCAGCAATCTTCAATCGAGTTCTTTAAATCGCAACAAGCCACTAAATATGCAGAACATCGGGTTTCGCTTATCGGGCTCAGGTTGGCAGGCTCAACTACACTCGATATATTTACGTCTCGTGCGTCCAGGAAGAACGACACGAATCCTTTCTTTATTTTCGACATGAAAACACTTTTCGAATCATTTAGCTGTTGGTGTTTGGCGTCTCCGCCCTACTGATTACTGTCCACCTTTTTACGACGATTTTATGCGCCAACATTCGGACATCAATTTAATTGAATCCCGCAATTTCGTATACTAATGGTAATAAAGCGCGCAAGATTATCGGGTTTTATTAGAATCCACTATAAGCGAGACGGTTGGGCCAAAGTACCCCAGCGAATATCCATCTGTTGTCCATTTCGCTGTACCTACAATTGCCAATAAAGACGAGTAAACTTTTTATGTGCTCGTATTATGGCTAATCGGACTCTGATTCGCTCTGGTTTAATTGAGGCTCGAACATACGGTTGCACTATCGTTAAACCTGCATTCGCTAAAAACCACTCAGCAAATATCCCTAATTAGGTACATCTACCTTCGAGTCTTCGAATGCATCCAAAGCTGTTTAAGGGAGATTTACTAGTTCGGAAGTTGAGTTAGTTTTCCTAAACGTCTGCAAGTGGCGGGTTTTTGGCCCTTCTGAAAAATCAGTTTCAAATCCGATTGAAGCCAAAATTTGTCCACTGGTAGTTCGGTACATCAGCTAGGCCATGTGTAGTTACGATAGCGTAACTTCAACTGGTTTGGGAGTTCAGAGTTTTTTTCAAAATGCCTGCAAATGCCGGTTTTTTGGAAGTTTTGTTTTTCAAAATGCCTCACGTTTGGAAGCTTCTGAAAAATCAGTTTTGCATCCTATTGCAACTAAACTTCGTCTACTGATAGAGTGGTATATCAGCTGCATCCTGTATAGTTAGAGTTCGGAAACTTCAATTGGTTCGGGACTTTTAATTTTTTTCGAAAATACGTGCAAGTGGCGGTTTTTTGGCCCAAGTTGTGCAGCTTCTGAAAAATAAGTTTTGATTCTCACTGAAAGCCACATTTGTCTAGTTGTAGTTCGATATATTAGTTACATTTGTGGAGCTACAATGTCCAAACTTTATTTAAAATTGTAGTTTGGAAAAAATTTCCAAATATTTGCAAGTAACGGTCAAGTTGCAAGTAGTCGGGTCATAAGTTGTTTAAAAATCAGCTTCACCTCCGATTGAATCCAAATTCTTCTTGGTTATAGCCACTTATATCAGTTAATGCTCAGTCAGCTCCTTAGAATCCGGAAACCTCCTCAGTTTTTGCAGTTGACAAAGTTTAGCTCAATGCCTGGAAGTTACGGTTTTTCGGCTCCGGTTTGTGCTTGAAAATTACTGAAAAGTTCGTTTCCAAACCGACTTAACTCATACGTTGCCTAGTTGTAGTCCGGTATATCAGTTACTTCATGTATAACTGCAACCTGAAAACTCTAATATTTTCACACTTCAGAAAATGTCCTTTTAATGTCTGCAAATGGTTTCGTGATTCCAGTTTGGAAGTTGCTGAAAAATCAGTCTCGAACTGTGCTTAGGTGAAAACTTGTGCATTGGTAGCTCGGTATATCAGTTACATTATGTGCAGTTACAACGTGAAAACTTCAGTCAGTTTCAGAGTTCGGAATTTTTGACTAAGTGCGTGGAACTGACGGTTTTTCGGCCCCAGTTTTGAAACTTCTGAAAACTCAGTTTCAATTCATACTGGAACGAAAATGTGTCGAGTTGTAGTGCGATATGCCAGTTACATCACGTGTAGTTACAATGTAGAAATTTCAATTAGTTTGGATTTTTAACTTTTTTTTTGAAACGGTTTTTTGGGTCGAGTTTGAACGCTTGTAAAAAATAAGTTTCGGTTTCTCTTGAAACCCAAATTTATCCACTGGTAGTTCGGTATATCAGTTACATCGAATTTAGTTGCGATGTAGAAACTTCAGTTAGTTTCGTAGTTCAGAAAAATTTCCTAACTGCCTGCAGGTGACGGATTATCGGCTCAGTTTTGGAAGTTGTTTAAGAATCAACCTCAACTCCGATTGAAAACGAATTTTCCTCAGTTATAGCTCCGTATATCAGTTACATTATTTAGACCTATAATTGGGAAATTTGCACACATTTTGGAGTTGGGAAAGTTTTCCTCACCGCCTGAAAGTGACGGTTTTTGGTTGGTGTCTGAAAATTGGTGATAAATCAGCTTCCAATCCGATTGGACTCAAACGTTGCCTAGTTGTAGCTGCGTATATCAGTTACATCATGTATAACTGCAATCGGGAAACTCCCATTATTTCGCAACTTCAGACTTTTTTCATAAATGTCTTCAAGTGGCAGTTTTTGGCTCAGGTTCGGATGTTGTTCAGAACTCAGTTTCAGCTTCGATTTAAGTCAAATTTTGTTTAGTTGTAGCTGAAAGTATCAGCTACACCATGCGTGACTGCAGCCTGAACACTTTGACAGGTTCAGAAGTTCTGATTTTTTTCCAAGTGTTCGCAAGTGACAGTTTTTTTGCTCATTGTCTGCAAGTTGCTGAAATTGCGGATTTAACTTTGATTAAAACCAAATCATGTCGAGTTGTAGCTGAAACTATTAGCTACTACTTGTGTAATTACAATCAGAAAACTTTTTTTTTGTTGGGGAACTCCACATTTTTTCTTAAAAGTCCGCCAGTGGCGGTTCTTCGGGTCATATTTGGAAATTGCTGAGAAACCAGCTAATTGAGGCCAAAATTTGAGTAGTTGTAGCCTAATGTACCCGTTACATCATATGTAGTTACCTACAATCGGAAAACGTCCACTATTTTGGTTCAGTTGGCACTCAGGGTTTGGTTCTGAAGGTCCGCAAGTAGCGGTTTTCCGGATGATTTTTCTAAGCTGCTTAGAAATCAGCTTTAGGCCAAATTTTGTTTTTTTTTGTAGCCCAATGTATCCGTTACAACATGCGTAATTATGGAATAATGCTTGGAAACTTCATCTAGTTTAGAAGTTGTCAATTTTTTCCTAATTGATCGCAAGTGGTGGATTTTTTCTCATGGTTGGACGTTGCTGGACACTTGGATATACCCAGTTGTAGCCTAAAATATCAGCTACAACTTGTCAAATTACACTAAGGAAACGTTTCTTTTATGGGAAGTTCCACATTTTTCCTTAAATATCCACCAGAGGCGTTTGTTTGGCTCACCTTTGGAAGTTGCTGAAAAACAACTTCAACTTCAATTAGCTTGAAAACCTGTCTACTTGTAGCCTAATGTATTTGCTACATCATATATGATTGCAATCGGTGAACTTTCCCTATTTTTTGAGCCCAGGGCGTCTTTCTAAAGGTTCGCAAATGACGGTTTTTTGGGTCATATTTGGAAGTTGATGAAAAATCAGCGTTACCTCCGATTTAAGCGAAATTCTGTTCAGTTGTAGCTCAATGTGTCAGTTACATCATATGTGATCACAGCCTGGAAACGTCCTTCGCTTTGGTAGTTCTGATTTTTTTAGAAGCGTCCGTCGAAGTAGCAGTTTTTTTTGGGGAGGGGGGCTGAAAGTTGCTGAAAAGGCGGATACAATTAAAATCAAATAAAGTCTAATTGTAGCTGAAACAATCAGCTACAACTTGCATAGCTACATCCAGGAAACTTCTTTTTGTTGCGGGGTGCAAGTTTTCCTTAAATGTCTGCCAGGGTCAGTTTTTTGGCGAACGTTTGGAAGTTGCTCTTCTGAAGAAGCTAAAAATCAAGTTCAATTCCAATTAAAGCCAAAATTTGCCCAGTTGTAGCCGAATGTATCCGTTACATCATATGTAAGTACATTTGGAAAAGTTGCACTGCTTTTGGTGCTCAGGGTTTTTTTTCAAGTGGCCGCAATTGGCGTTTTTTCGGGTCATATTTGGAAGTTGCTGAAAAATCAGCTTTAGCTCCTATGGATTTCAAACTTTGCCCAGTTGTAGACCAATGTATTGGTTTTACCCTTTGCAGTTTAAATCTGGAAACTTCGACTAGTTTGCGAGTTGCAAATTTTTTCTAAATGTCTACAACCGGCTGTTTTTTTCCGCCAAGTTTTGCAGCTGCTAAGCAATCAGTTTCAGTTGCAATTGCAGCCAGAGTTGGTACAGTTGTAGTCAAATGTATCAGCTGCAGCATGTATAATTCCAATATAGCAATTTCCACTCTTTTTGGAGCGCAGATTTTTTTCTATCTGTGCAAGTTGCAAAGTTCTGGGCCAAAATATGAACTGAAGGCTTTTAGAGCATTTGGAAAAGCTCTTATACGGCCAACTTGAAACAGAGAGATTAGAATAAAGCGGATTAAAACGGTTTATTAATGACAAATAATAATAAAATTCGATTGTTCCACAACTTATATAAATATACAAACTCTGATCGTTTCCGCCTGTTAACAAACGAAATGGCAAATGTAGACTTAAACATAGAGGCTTTGGTTTTACAAAAAGCTGATGTGCAAACGTGCTAATATAAACAAATTTAATAAATAAATACTAGTTCACACCGTCCTTAAATTGTAACCTTTGGCATATTTGTACAGAACTAATCAGCTAAGGCTAGATCTAATATCTCGGCAAATTTACAGCCCTTTTTTATGTACAACAGTTCAGGGAATGAATGAATAGTGCATAAGTAGTGTAATTTCGTCCGCTTGCCCTTTGGTGGTAAGAACGTTTCGGCTGACGAACGAACAAAATAAATAATAATTTCATATAAAAGTCGTAACGTATAAAAATATAAAATAAACAGGCTTAGGGATAGTAAAGTAGGGCTAGTGCAGCTCAGTCTCTTCGGAGTGCTCCTCCACATGGTAAGTTAGTTGAGGCGAAGAAGTGCCAAATACTCGGGCGTGGTCCGAGTCAGTTGTCAAAGTAGGCTGCAAAGGGTTGACGCTGCAAAACAATCGGGGTATTTATGACGCAAAATGCCTTGAGACTAGATCAATATTGGTGGAAGCAACCTTTACTTTAAGTACTTACTTACTTGGCCAGTTGCCGGTTCAAATGGTCACTAGCCTGGATTTGTCGATGGTACTGAGGCTGCTGGTATGGAACGCTCGTGCTGATGGTGTGAGGCAATTGATATTGTTCGGATAAGTCCGCCTCTGTTTGCATGCTGTTGAAGTATATGGTCTGATTATCTGTGAACATAAAACAGAAACTAATCAGCTTCGGTTTGCTCCCAAAGATCAGAATTTAACAGTTTTGAGGGTTTCATTGTCGAATGTCTAACGGGGATTTATTAGGCTAAAATTCTGGTTTTTTCAGCAAGTTGCGGTTTTTTGGCACCCTTTTTAAATCAGGGTTGGCTCCGATTTGAACCAAAATTCCCCGAGTGCATGAGTAGCACCATGTAGAACGATGGTGTCATTGTTTCTTCTAGTTGGGGAATTGTGAGTTGTTTCCCAAACACCTTTCAAGGGCTTTTTTGGCTCACGTTTGAACGCGCCTCAAAAATATGCTTTGCTTCCGATTACCATCAAATTTTGTCAATTTAGTATGTTTGATTGGCAGTTAAAAAATTGTTAGTTGAAGTTTTCTGGTTCAAATTTGGAACGTTTGGAAAAATCAGTTTCAGTTCCAATTAAAGCAAAAATCTCAGTTGCAATTGAAGCCCAATTTTGCGTATTTACAGCCCAGTATATCAGTTATATCATGTGGAATTACAGTCTTAAAACTTCTCATATTTTTGGAGTTCAGAATTTTTTTTGGTCGTATGTTCAATGTTTCTACACGCCGTTTATTGTCACCAGGTTTAGAAGCCAGGTTTTGTCGAGTTATAAATTAAAACTTCTGGAGTTCTCAATGTTTTCTAAATGTTTATAAGCAGCAGTTATTAGCCCATGTTTGGCAGCTTCCAAAAAATCAGTTTTGCGTGATAAATCTGAAGTTACAATTTGGAAACTACCTTTAGTTTGGGAGCTTGAACATTTGGCTTAAAGGTTGAACAACGGCGGTTTGTTGCGTCATGCTTGGAAAGTGCAAAAAAATCATCTTCAGCTGCAATTAAACCCAAATTTTCTTTGGTTTTAGCCCAATATGTCAGTTACACCGTGTGTAATCAGCGTCTCGAAATTTCCAGTACTTTAGGAGTTCAGAACTTTTTCTTGGAATGTTTGCTAGCGTCATTTTTGGCCCAAGTTTGAAAGCTCAAGAAAAATCAGTTTTATCTCCGGTTAAAGGCATGCTTTGCCGAGTTATAGCTGAGTGTATCAGCTACACCGTGTCTGATTACAATATGAAAACAGTGATTAGTTCGGCAGTTTTGAATTGTTACTTAAATGTTTGCAAGCGGCGTTTTTGGCACGAGTTTGAAAGCTCATCAAAAATGAATTTCAGCTTAGATTGCAGCCAAATTTTCCTCAAATGTAGCTGAGCATATCAGTTATGCCATGTAAGAAAGGAATTCCGAAACTTCGAAGAGTTTGGAAGTTCATAATTTTCTCCTAGGCAAACAGGAATGTATATGCACGTTGCGGTTTGTTCGCCTAAGTTTGGAGGCTCCCCAAAAATCAGTTTCAGCGTCCTTTGAAGGCAAATTGTGTAGCGGCGTATATCAGTTATTGCTTGTGAAAGTGGAACCCTGAAACTTCAGTTAATTTGCAAGCCTTTCAACATTTTTTTGTGTGCGAATGTGTAGGCAATTTGCGATTTGTTCACCTAAGTTTGGAGGCTCGCACAAAACCAGTTACGGCTTCAAATGAAGACCAATTTTGTCCCGATATAGCTGAATATATCAGATACACCTTGTGAAATTACAATGCTGAAACTTCCTTTAGTTTATCCCCTAGTGCAAATGTCTCCGCAACTTTTAAAGCGGTTTTTTACTTCAGTTTGGAAAGTCGTATAAAATCAGTTTCAGCTTCGAATGGAAGCATATTTTGACCAGATGTAGCTGAGTATATCAGTTACACTATTTAATAGTTAAATGTAGAAACTTTCGTTGGTTTGGAAGTTCAGAATTTTTTCCATGCAAATGCACCTATACGCAAGTTGCGATTTTTTTACCCAACTTTGGGAGCTCATAGAAAATCAGTTTCAATTGGAAGCAAATTTTCGTCAGATGTAGCTGCGTATATCAGTTATAGCCTGCGAAAGTAGAATCGTCAAACTTCAGTTATTTTGCAAATTCTAAATTTTTGTTTAGGCAAGTAGCGGTGTGTTCAGCTACGTGTAGCGGCTCGTAAAAAATCAGTTTTAGCTTTGCTTGAAAGCAAATTTTGTTGGGATGTTGCTGAGTATATCAGCTGCACCATGAGGGAGTAGTATGATGAAATTTACATTGGTTTGGAAGTTCAGAATTTTCTGCTGTTAGAATGTCTGGGCAAGTCGCGATTTGTTGAGTTAAGCTTGGAAGTTCGTAAAGAATTAGTTTCAGCTTCGATTGAACTCAAGTTTTGTCTTGGTATAGCTGAGTATATCGGTTCAGCCATGTGATAGTGAAAAGCTAAAACTGCAGTTAGTTTGCAAGTTCAGAATTTTCTCGTGTGCGAATGTGTAGGCAAATTACGGTTTGTTGACCTAAGTTTGGAAGCTCGTAAAAAATGGGTTTCAGCTTCTATAGACGTCAAATTTTCTTCAGATGTAGCTGAGTTTATTGGTTACACATTGCGAAATTAGAATCCTGAAATTGCCGTTCAAAAAGTTCAAATTTTTTTTTCTGTACTAATGTTTCCGCAATTTTCGGTTTTTTTCCTAAGTTTGGAAGCTCGGAGAAAATCAGTTTCAGCTTCGATTGGAAGCAAATTTTGTTCCGATTTAGCTGACTATATCAGTTACACCATGTGCCAGGGAAATAAGGAAACCTCCGTTGGTATTCAAGTTCACAATTTTTTCCTGTGCAAATGTAGAAGCAAATTTCGGTTTGTTCATCTAAGGCTAAAACAAAATCAGTTTTGGTGTCCATTGACGTCAAATTTTGTCCAGATGTAGCTGAGAGTATTAGTTAAGGACTGTGAAAGTGGAATCCTGAAAGTTCGG